GTCCAAGATTAACCTTCAGGGTGGATATAGCTCGCTAGCAGCATCACAGATGACCTATCCATGTCATCATTTACCCAGAATGCTTTGCGTCTAAATTAAATGGCCCCGTCTGTGTAATAAATTTAACTTTTAGCTTAAAAATCATAAAAACTAATCAGCCTACAGTATTTTTTAGTCTTTATTTTACAGTTAAAATAAATTTTTATCAATTAACGTCTAATGATACAACTAATCAGGGATCCCTTTAAATCATTATACTTTATAAAACCATACCACACATGGATTCAGACATTGGATTTTCAGAAGATTTAATGGCACAATTAGTACCAAAGAAAAGAAGCAATTACTTCACTTAATATATACAAAAGGACAAAAGAAAGATATAAACACTCAAATGCTTTTGACTTCAACTCAGTTGTACAACAGTAAGTCAGAAATTCTAACATTTCTTAAATATAACAAATAAAGTGTATCTGCAGTGAAATATTTGAAATCAATTTATATCAGTCATAAAAAAGTTAAACAAACATGAGATAGTAAACCCACCACCAAGTTTCAAGAACACACGAATCAGTTTTACAACGTTTACTGCTTTGTCGATTTCACATTCTTCATATCTTCATATGATATACTGAAATATAGGTGAAGCATTAGGTTTCAAAGGCGTTTGCATTAAGGTTATGCAAAAAGTTCAGATTTAAACTATTTCCTCATTTTTTTAAAGACCTATGTTCTTCAGCCTGCCATGGTGTGCAGATCTTGCAGGTTTATTTTCTGGGTCTCCAGACGTCCACAATACCTTCACCGGAGGCCAAGGCGAGGACTCCATCCTCCACACTCATCTGATGTAGTTGGGGTAAATATGAGAAAAGTATGAAGACATAATTAAGTTAGAAACAACTAATGAAAAAAAAAAACATTTTCTCAGCAAAAACATTACWGACAGTTTTAACTATGCATCAATGAAAAAATGCAACTGTATCATTAAAAGTACATTATCACACATTATAGTTTGTTTATTTAACTGAAAGATGTGGTTTAAATCACTGACCCCGTGGACACAAGCTGGATAATTCAGAGTACATAAAGTCCTTGGAGGAGCACAGGGGATGTGAACCTGCAACGCAGATAAAATATTCCAGAACTGCTCAACAGCAGGATGAGTTTGATAAGATTGTAAGTCTGCTCTGCTCACTTTGACTGTTCCATCAGACGAGCAGCTGTAGAGGCTTCCCAGAGACCGGTGAATACCCGTGACCAGAGCTGTGTGTCCCACGTCAAACTGGGACAGGAGCTTCAAAGACCCAGCCTGCATGGAAAAGGAGTGCAGCAGACCTCTGTTGTCTCCTGCCCAGACCTCAGAACCGCTGTAGCTCATGGACAGCAGATAGGACCTGAGCTATGAACAGAAACCTTAGATGTGAGCACACACACACACACAAAATAAAWAATAAAAAATAYTTGAGCAACGTGAGTGTCGGCCTTTGAATCAACCTGTGTTTTCTTCAAGCGTTTGCCTGCCCTGCGGTCATACACAGCCACAGTGCAGTCATGGCTCCCAGAGATGATGTATTTGTCATCTGCAGCTAGGCACAGTACAGCATTACCATGGAGACGGAGGCTTTTAATCAGTGGTTCAGCAGCTGTAGGAAAAACACATTTAGATTCAGTGATCAGATCATGGGGATCATCAAGAATGGTATACAGACAGTTTTCTGGCACTGGGCAGCACATTTAGAATGCCTTGATAGTCTTGAGATTTCTTTGTGGAGGACCTCAGTTTAGCTTGTTAGTTTGTCTCGCTAGCACTGAGCTAATACATATAAGGCAATATAACGTTGGCACTAGTGCGAAGGCTAACAGGCTAAGCTGAGGTTCTTCTTCCATGAAGCAGCTCTGTTGTCCTCCATCCATATTTTCAGTTACAGGCTGAGTCATTTCCACCTTCTCCTCTCTGTCAACACTCTCTGGTTTCATTTAAAAGAGTTGATCATCAGATATTGTCCAAGATTAACCTTCAAGGTGGACATAGCTCGCTCACACCAATGACCTATCCATGTCATTATTTACTCAGAACGCTTTGTGTGTAAATAAAATGGCTCTGTACGTGTTAAAATATACTTTTTAAAAATTTACAAAACTAAACATCCTACTCTATTTTTACAGTTTTTATTTTACAGTTAAAATATATGTTCATCAAATAAAGTCTAATATTACAACTAATCAGGGATCCCTCTAAGACACCCTGTTCCAAATGCAGCAAAGCTGCCCCAGAACACAACCCTCCATATTTCACTGAATCTAATGTGATATTTTCTTTCTATGTTTCATTTTTACATGATAGTGTGCTCCTCACTCATCATTTTTGGCTCAGAGCCCAATGGTGCAACCTGACACTGATGGACCATGACCTTGTAGTTCTCTAATCTCTTTGGAAGTTGCTCTAGGCTCTTAGGTAATACAAAATGATAACCAATCTATTTAATTTGCCATCAATTTTCATGTTGGTGAAACACATGTGAACCTTAAACTTATAAATACTACAGGCAGATGAAGCCACAAGAACATTGAGGTGCTTATGGTCTTACTGACTTTACCTTTAATATCAATCATTATGTCTAAGCTTCTGAGACAACTCTTTCCTTGGCTTTCTGTGGTTCATGTTCAGTGAGTTACATATGATACCAAACAGCCCAGTGACTCCTTTGCCCTTTAAATAGTCAATACTGACTTATAACAAAACTGAAGACACCTTAATATAACACGACTAGGACAAATTATTTTCTTCTAGAACCTAGAATCTAGAAATTGCAGTGTACCAAAAGGACATTGTGTGGCTAACTATGTGGCTTCCTCACGCTGAGGCTGCACTGCGTAGAGGCGCGTCCCCCAGGTGGTGGATGGGGGGGATCCCTGCTGTGTAAGGGTGTGCCTGAATAAGCTGAAAGGTGAATAGGGTGCCGTGAACCAAAAGCAGCCGGGCAGGTGAGGCTCGTTAGCCTTG